TGATTTAATAAGTCTTGTCATAGTTACTCCAAAAAGGAATTGAAAAAAAAAATAATTAAAAATCTAAAAAATATAAGTAATGCCAAAAGGAAAGCAAGCACCTGCCAAAGGAGCAAAAGCCTCAACTAAAACTACAAAAGATAATAAAGAAGAGAAACAAAAGGGGTGTACTAAAATCAAAGTTAGACACATTTTGTGTGAAAAGCAATCAAAGATTCTTGAGGCACTTGCCAAGCTTGACGAAGGAAAACCATTTAGTCAAGTTGCTACTGAATATAGCGAAGATAAAGCAAATCAAGGAGGAAGTCTTGGATGGGTAATTCGAGGACAAATGTGTGGAGCATTTCAAGATGTTGCCTTTAATGCGCCAGTGGGTAAATACACTCAACCATTTAAAACGCCATTTGGATATCACATTGTTTTAGTTGAAGAAAGAAAATAAGAAACTGGTTAAGAAATATTTTTTATTCTTTTGATAAATTATGAGAATAAATTACTATAACAAAACTGATAGTTTATTGAGGAGAATAATTATTTTGAGTAAATCCTTGAAGGTTATAATATTGGGAATAATTAGGAGGAACCATTACATTAGCACTTTGGTGGACGTAATTAACTTGGCCATTTGGTAATACAACCGGTATAGTAGCCGTAATGTTTGGTTGAATAGCAGAATGTAAGAAGTCCATTGATAATATTTGAGCACGTAATTGGTCATCTACAGTTTGGAGTTGGGCCGTGGTATTTACAGAAACAACAGGTGTTGAAGAGGTAGGGATATTAGGAGAAGTTGACTGAGACGGAGCTGGTGATTTAACAGGATTTCTTCCTTTTCCAATACCAAGGATTTTTTTTCTTGTAGTCACATCTAATTTATCAATTGAATATCTTAAACCTTCTCTTGTAAAATATCTATAATTATCATAAATAAAATTTACAACTTTATCTGTAGAATTTAATGACATTTCTCTTAATAAACAACCAACTCCTAATTGTACAAATCGTTCACTACTTTTTACACAAGTTGAGCATATTTCAAGACATGTACTTTCTTTTTTATTTGCAAAGTTTACATAGATAACACAACATGCTCTCATTCTCCATATTTTTCCACAGTCTTTCCATTTATATATTCTCTGAAAATAATCCTCATGTGACCGAAGAAATTGAGTAACTACTTTATTTGCTAATGCATCACAAATCATCCAGTCATTAATGTCATTATCAAATATTCGTTCTAAATCACTAAGATGACCCTCATTTAATGATGAAATATTTTTTGATAAAGTCAAAATTCCAACCCTTTTCTCTTCAGGAGAGTGCAACGCCAAAAAACGATAAGAAAAATAAATTTGCATTGCTGGTGAGTATGACTGAAGAGTAGATGCATAAAAAGAATCAAAAAGAGTTTGAATTTGAGCTGACTTCATACTATACTGAGAAGGTGTTTTTGATTGTGAATTTTGCATTAAAATATTTTGTAATGAAGCAATGACATTATTGTGTGGAATGTACATTAATTTTCCAGAAATTCTAACGATATGGAAATCTGTATTAATAGGTTGAGGTGATTGCATATTACAAATATTTTTTATGTTTTTTTTTCTGGTTTATTTTCATATTTTTTGAAAATTATAATTGGAAATAATACAATAAATAAATAATAAAATAAGTCACTTACATGGTTTTAGGAGAATAAACTGATATATGAAGAATCACTGATGATATCAAATCTACAACACAGATCATATGATAAAATGAGTAATGAACAGAAACCCCTTCAACAAATGCATGAACTATAAACATAGTAAAATAAAAGAAACAAATTAAAATAATTGCTTTAACCATTGGTCTAAAATAATATAATATACAATCAAATAGAAACACCATTAAATAAGCAACAAGACATCCATAAAAAATTTGATTTACTGTTGCATATCCATGAATTAGAATATGCCCAATACATATAGTTCCAGAAAGTATATATAACATTAATATGATATATGTTGTTGAATGATAAATACATTTTTGTTTATAACGAATATAATTTTGACAATTACATGAATATCTACATGAAAATGGACCGAGGCTTTGATAAAAAATTTGATATGAATTTTGAGTGTATGTTGGAAATTGTAGTTGTAGGGTAATTATTGATTGAGTGGCTTGAGGGTATAAATCATTTGAATTTAAGAGCCTAATGAAAATGAGAAAGAAATAAACTATTGCATATGAATATCCATTTACTCCATTTAATGTTTCTCTATCTTTACTACAAGTAGTATCTTCAAGATAAATATTAAGAAATGAAATTATAAAAGATCCAATTCGATGAATAATATATGAAGTAGTGAGATCAACAAAAAATGGAATAACAATAACAAGCTTCCCTTTTATTAATCTGAAGATTGATAAGATTGGTAAAAGAAAACCTGATAACATAGCAACTGAATGTATTTCCATAAGTCCTGTTGTATCACTTGTTCTATTACCTAAACATAAACGATTCTTTTGTTCAATACAAAATGTGATATAACATATTGAAATGAACACAATATAAATAAAAGGTGCATTTGATATGAACAATCGAAACATATTGATTTTGATTTCTTTTAATTTTTCTCTTTTTTAATCAAAAATAGAAATTTTTATTTTTTAACTAAAAATTAAATAATAGAATATCCTTTCATTTTAAACAATCTCATGAATCAATATCTATTTAAACAAACTTTTTCAGAGGATTATCAATGAAAAAGAATTTTGACTTTAAAAGGGATAGACTTAGAAATGAACAAAAATTATCTTCAAGGAGCGATGAATTTGTCCCCCATGTTAATGAAATAGACAATTCAAATGATACAGTTTCAATATACATGACTGAACATATATTAAGAAGAATTAAATTGTTATATCCTCATTTATGGTATGATGATATTTGTTGTGTTCATACAGTTTGTAATAACGAATTCACTAATAAATCAACAAAGGAATTAGTTGTGATGCTAAAAGTTTTTGATTTATTTGTTAAGTCTGAGGAATGGTATTTTATTAAGACTAAAGAAGAAGTTATTGAATTATCAACCTATCCAGAGTTTGAGATAATTCGTAATAATATCATCGATCTCTTGAATTATAACGTTGTACCAGAACAACTAATAGGTACTATTATTAACGAAAACATGACATTAGGAATGAGCGTTCAATGTTACAAACAATTAACTAATAAATATAAACACATTACCTCTTTAATTAAAGGGATAGATGATTATTATGATGACTTGAATAAATATGCTCAACATGAAATTAATGAAATTCACCAAATCGATTGGTATTTCTCTTCAACTTATCCAAATAAGAATCGTTTGAATAATTCCGAGGAAGACTTACTACTAAAAAGTATTGAAAAAGAAAAAAAGGTACTAGATGGTTTATTGAATGAATGTAATTGTATTCAAAAAAAATTACGAGAAAAATATAGTTTAGATACTGAACTAGTTATAGACAAGAAACTCCTCAAAGAAATTGAAGAAAAGCAAATTGAAATTAATAACAAGGATCAAATGATATCTCAAGAACTAAAACATAACTCTTATTTATGGATTCATCATTTAGAAAATGAAAAGAAATATTGTGGTGAATGTAAAGAAAGAATAATTAATAAAATAAGTCAACTAAAAGAACAACTAAAAGACGATTTTAAAAGAGAAGAAATAAGAACAGCCCCATTAATTCAAAGTGTTGAAAACCTAAAATACCTTAATTGGTGCCTCAAAGAGACATACGATTTATTAACTGGGTTGGATAGTAAAACCAATACATTTTTTGAACAAGAAAAATCAGACTTAAAAAGCCAAACACTTGATACTATTCAAAATTCTTTTAAGTCTATTAATTCATTACTTGATGAAGTTGATCAACAACAAGAAGAGATATTAACAAATTTAAACTCTTTATGTTAACCACTCTTAAATATTGAAATAAAGAATGGTTTTGTCATTTTTTTGAACAAAAAAATTTTTCTTAAATTATTTTTTTTCTAATTTCTTTTGGGTTAGTCTCTTCGTGTATCACTTTTTTAATAAAAGTTCTTGTATTAAGTTATAGTTTCATGAATTATTGACTATAAATTATTTTGATAAAAGTTTGGTATTTTTTAATACTAAAAATAGAATATTCAAATGTTTTTTTTTATTAATTAAAAAACTATTGAAAATAACTAATAAATTTTTTAGAAAAAAAAGAAAATTTTCATTTAAAATTGTATGTCTACAGTATCATCAAACACCACGACTAAAGTTATTATCCGTTCTCTTATTGCATTGTATGCTAATCAAGCACAAGTATTTACATCACCAACATACACTTCAAAGCGTTGTTTTGAAGAATCATTAAATATGACATTGACTAGCCAACAAGTTCTTTTTTATGAATGCCCAAAGAAGTCATTATTATCATTAACAAGAAAGTCAAATGAAGGACAAATTGTTGGAAAAATTTCATTAATACACACAAAAGTTCAAGATAATTTAGATGAGTCTTCAAAAGATAGAGGTAAAACATTGTTGTTGATTGAAACACTTGACTTCCGTCAACGAACTTTTGTTATCCTCTTTTCTGATAAAACAGAACGAAATGAATGGAAAAATTTAATTAAAAATTATATTATAACAGCAAAGAAAAAAAAGGTTCTTGGAATTGATTTAAAAGAACTTCGTCAAGCCTCAGGAGAAGAAATCCCTCCACTATTACTTGTTTGTATTGATACTATTAAAGAACATCCAAACGATATAATTGAAACCTTACCTCCATACCAAGTTCAAGAACTTATTAATTCAATTAATAATAATAATGAAATTAAAAACATGACTGCTTCAGTTGCATGGACTATATTGAAACTATTTCTTATGTCATTACCAACACCATTACTTCATCCTATTTCTTCTTTTTTATCAATTAATCCAATTAATATTGAGTTAGTTGAAAAGAGTATTAGGATGCTTCCAATAGAACAAAGACTACTGCTAGATAAAATACTTGAAATGTTTGTGTATCTTAACAATGTAGATCCTGTAAAATATGCTCCTCATTCTATTGCACATTCATTTGCTTTATACCTTGGATGGGTCAAAACAGAAGCTATACCATCAACAATTTATGATATTGTTGAATTTCTTATCACTCAATATCATCACATTTTTAACTTAGAATTAGGTCAACAAAAACGATTGTCAAAGTCATTTACAAATAGTGAACAAACAAATAAGTTTATCCTAATAAACAAAACTGATCCAAGAAAATGTACTTCATTTACAGATAGAGAGGATATTGCATTTAGAGAATTAGGTGCTCCAAGTAATGAAAGAGATATACCCTCAAAAGAAACTGACGTTCCATTAACAATCATTTTTGAAAATCTTTCTAAATAAATATTGTTGAATTCAACAACTCAAAACTGCAATTTAGCCTATTTTCTTGTTTAAACAATTCAATTAAAAGGTTTTACATTCAACAAATCTCATTTCTCTACATGAAATAAAAGAATTTAGACTTCTATTACTCATAAATTCAATCAATAACTCTCTTGTTGTAATATCAAATGTATACATTTTAACACGACTCACTTCTTTTGCTAAAGAAACAAGCCCTAACTCATTAATTTCTTGTGGGACATGCTATAATTGATAAGGTTTTGACAAAACGCATTGATGCTAAACAATAACAAACAATAGATGCAAAGACATGATTTTTAGTAGTTAGTGCCTGTTCAACATCATCATTACTTGAACTTAAATTTGAATCTTCAAAGAACTCAAATTCTCCTTCTTTTTTATCAAAAGTTTTAATATCATCATCAGTAGTTGTAATAATCCCAGATGCTTGTATATCTTTAGAAGTGTCAGTTCTTTCTTGTATAACTCTTACATTGTTGAGTAACTGAACATCAAATTTGTTATCATCTAATATTATTTCTTTAATTAATTGTTTTCTCTGGAATTTTTTTCTTTTGTTTTCCTCCAGTTCACCATAAAATTCACGTTCTGGGTATTGTGTTTGTTTGTCACTTGGTCTAGAATGAGACCTATTATGACTCCCAATTCCTCTTCTTGAGTAATGAACATCTCTTCTTGGATAACAATTTATTTCCTCAACTCCTGAACTAACTATATGATAATTTTCGTTGTGTTTTTTGGTAGTATTATAATTTGTTGATCTTTCAGCGTCAAAGATTTTTTTTGTGATATAACCATTGATGTTACTTCCTTTTTTAATTTCTTCTCTCAGATTTTTGATGTCTTGAAAACAAAAATATTCCTTCTTTTCTAAAACAGAGGGGTCTTTCAATTTTTTATAAGCATTTACGAGTAGTAACTTAATATAATCAAGTTGTTGAAAAGAGAAATATTGTTTATCAATATCAGTTTCCATTATCCTTTTTTTAATTAACGAGACAAACGACTCTATAAAAATAAGTGTGTTTTTAAAATAATCACTTTCATGACAAACTTAAATTGGTTTTATTATTAATCCTCACAAAAATTTCTTCAAAAAGATCAACAAACGTTTTATGTTTGGTGAATTCTGGAGTCATAAATGTATACATAATAGTATAAATGTTATAGTGATGATTTCTATCATCTAATATTTGGTGTAATAAAGAAATAGAATAACTAAATGTTGGTTTAGAATTGTCTAAAACCCAATGCTCTGTGTATCGATATCCAAAACCATCTAAATAACGTTCACAGTAATGTTCTTTTTCTGGAGAGCTCATTTGATCAACAGATACATAAGGAATAGAAGCTCTGTAATAATCTTTTAGTCTAGTAACAGCCTGAAACAATGACTGTGGACAATTAAGTAATCTTACACTGAGTATATTCAACATTATAAATACACTTCCATAATTGTATTTATCTTCTACAAATCTAAATTTGTTTTGAAAAAGGTCAATAACAAGAAACATAATATTTTCATCAGTAATTCCGTAATACAAAATATCTGATAATATTAAGTGAAGTTGCTGTAATATTAGATTTTATTATTAACACATTTTAGTTATAAGAAAAATCTTTTTGGTTGTCAAACAAACATAAACACCTTCGTTGTTTAATACACAATTATAACAATACTTTGAAAATAATCGAATGTTATTCTATTAAATAAATATCTGACTTCTTTAATTATTAAATCAATAAACAAACAACCACCTTAGAAGTAATAATTGTATGTTCATCTTTAACATCAGAAAGTGGTCCTGATGGTTTCATTTATTAGTTATTAACAAGTTTCTTATGAAAAAAAGAAACGAAGCTACAGTGATAATTAGCTTTTTTTTATATTTTTACTATACAAATGAAAATAAATAAAAAAATCTAAAATTTATTTTTTTCCTTTTTAATGTATTATGATTTTCTTTTATGTTTTTGTCTCTTCTTTTATTTTCTCATCTATTTAATATATGATATTGTAATACTTCTGTATTTTTGAGTATTTACAAATGCATAATAAAACTCTAACTTCTTAGATATTAGGGGGAATTGTGAATAAAATTGGTGAAGATGAGAAATAAGTAAAGAAACTAAATAAATATCTTCTTTAATAATTTGGTAATCCCCACGAATAAGAGAAGCTGCCTGAGGAATATTTTCTATGTATTCATTTTTTTTCATCCAGTCAATTACGTAATAAATATAGTCGTTTGGAAATACTGTTGGGTATCTTTGATAAAGGAATGGAAGTAATTCTTGTAATTGGACATCTATTTCTGAAGAATAAACATCAAATATTTCAGTAGAAACATACAATCTCGTCAAAGCAATATAAACAACACAACAACAATCAATACATTGAACTACAATTGGAGATACTTTACTAACATTAATGCTGGTCATTATTTCTCTAGGTAGATTTGATGAAGAAACTGACAAATACCATGGCACATATTGCTCTATCTGTTGTTGGCATAATTTATTTAAATTTCTTTCGAATTTTTGTATCTGATCTTGAGACAATATTGCTTTTAATTGGTTAATGTCATTTATTTCACCAGACTCAATTTTTCTTAGAAGCATATCATCAATATCTTTAGTGTCATACTTTTCTGTGTCTACTTTGCCATCTTTTTGAAGAACATCTTTAAATGATTGAATCTCATCTTCTTTAATTTTAAATTTCATTAATTGGTTAATCTCATTACTACTAAATGAATTAAAACAACTTCCATTGTTGTGTGTTTGATAGCATTTCACAGAACAAACTCCTTGATGACAACGAGGGCAAACGTAATGACTATCCTTTTTATCAACACAACATATTTTTTCTATGTATTTCTTAGTCATTTATAAAAAACAAGTTTTACTTTTTTTATTTTAGAAAACATTAGAATATAATAATTAGTGAATCATTTATGAAATTCTTATTTATTTAACTCAACATAACAAAGAAAATAAAACACTAAAAACCAAATTATATTTAAGGTAAATACAATAGGCTTGTTTGATAAATTCTAATTATGAAAAAACAACGTCATATTAACTTTCTCTTCTTTGAAAAAGATTTTCAAATTAAATTTGGTTCAATTGAATGTTAAGATAAGAAAGAAATACTTAATTTCAGAAATAGTTTGACTCTTAATAATTTTTTTTTGTTTGTAGAATTTATTTTGATATGATAAAATAACGCGTTAAAGGAGTTGAAAAAATCATTCAAAGTTAAGAGGTTTAAATAAAAATAATAGTCAAATAATTTAACACTTCAACACACACTTACTATTACTTAATTCTGTTCATTCAACACACTAAAAATTAGTATGAATATTATTTATACAAGTTTATTGTATATTAAAAAGGTTATTTTTTCAAAGAACTTATCTGAACATATTGAAATAAAAAATAGAACATAAAAAGAAAATGTCTTCTTCAACAGAAAAAAAAACAATTGTAAAAAGGAAAGAAAAAAGGAGAAAAAAAAAGAACTGAATAAGAAAATAGTATGAATATAGGAAGAGATAATAAATCACTTGATGAACAAGTTAAAACACGTCTGTTGCAAATTTCTTCATTGAGGACAGAACGAAGAAAGAAATTTCAAAATGAAAAGAGAGTAATTGATCTTGGAGAAAATACTCCAATCAAATCAACTCGACCAATAGAACAATTACTTTCGTTATTAAACGAAGGGATTAAAAACGAAAATCAAGAGCTTAAAATTCAAGTATTGAAGGAATTATGTTATGTAACTCGAAATTGGAAAAATGATACAATCACTGTAGATAAAGTTATGGACGTAACAATGACACTACGTCCATTATTACAACAAACTAATTTAACATTTCCAGAAATAAAATATTCAATTCATATATTTACTAATATCTCTGCATTATCTGAAGGACTACTTAATCCATTGATTACTGGAGGAATATTAACAATTATGGGATATTATTTAAAAGATTCAAATTCAGAAATTGTTTCAATGGCTTTGTCATTCTTTTCAAATTTAATTATTGAATCAAAAGAACTTACAACAATAGTGTTTCAAATGGGATTTATAGAAATAATGACAAGAATTAATCAACAACCAATGACAAGTGTAGCATTGCAAAATTCTTATGCATGGTGTTTTTGTAATATATGTCGTTCTGTTTCAAAACAATATAATATTGATTTTATTCGTAATATAATACCAATACAATTACTTGAAAAAGAATCAAGTGAATCTGCAATAGCTGATAGTTGTTGGGGAATATATACAATATCAAGAAATTTACAACAATTTAATTTATTAGTAGAATCTCATGTATTTGAATTATTATTCAAACTATTAAGAAAAAAGAATACTTTAATCATTATACCTATACTTAAAATACTTGAGGCTTATTCTTATGAAGATGAGAGATATTTTAATCATTTTATTAAGCATGACATTTTCTCGTATATTAAATCAATTATTGCAAGTCCACAAACAAACGATAATGTATTAAAACAATGTACATTCATTGCTTCAAATCTTGTTGTTTCCGATTCATTTAAAAAACTCTTAATAAATAATGGAATAGTACCAATGCTCATTCAAAAATATATAATTCTAAGTGATGAATCAAAAAATAATATTAAATGGATGTTAATTAATATCCTTGTAATGGCAGACGATCAAGAAGTATTTTTCCTTTGTCAAATGGATCAATTATTTTATATCTTTGCAGACTTTGATAATAGAGATGACAGACTAGTACAATTGTATTTATCTTCTTTAATTAAAATTTGTTGTGTTGGTGCTTCACTTGCACAAAATGGTGAAAATGTTTATGTAGAAAAGTTGATAGAAGCAGGAACTAAGAGGTGTGTTGAGGTTTACATCAACCATCATGACCCAGAAACATCAAAAATGGCTGCTGTAGTATTGAGGTTCTTCCTCGACACAGAATCAGAATCTAGTTTAGATATGGAATCTGCTTATTAATTTTTTTGTTATTCATAACATTTGTATTTTTAAAGAAAAAATAAAACGAAACTCTGAAAAATGTTTCTTAATTATTCATTTGATGAAATAACTATTGAGAAACAATAATCTAAAGACCTCTCTTATTCCATCTAAATTTAACTATTAAAAATTATTATTTATTAATTATTAAAATAAACTATATTTTAACCCTTTGAATATCAAAAGAAAAGAAAACAATAAACGATTGAAAAGTAATAAGAAAATTAGCTTAAAACTAATAGAGTTAGAAGAAATGAATATAAAAATTGGTAAGATAAAGAAAGGGAAGGGATAGGAAAAAAAAGATGAAATCAAAAAAAAAATAAAAAATAAAAATAGAGATTAACCAAAAAGGAAAAAATACAAAATGAAAAGAATGAGATCGAGAACTAATATCTCAAGGAATGGCAACAAATCCAGAACAATCAATAGCTAGTGATGCAGTATGTCAAAGTCAATCCGATTTACCGCAAGTCGTTACTGTAGATAGTTTCAGAAAAGTAAAATTAATTGGAATGGGAAATGTTGGAAGAGTATATCTTGTTCAGTTGAAAGGAACAAATCATTACTTTGCAATGAAAATACTTATTAAAAAACAAATGGAAGAAAGAAATAAAACTAACCGTGTTACAACAGAAAGAGAAATTCTTTTAACAACTAGACATCCATTTATTGTTCATTTGTATTGGTCTTTTGCTACTGAAACATGTTTCTATTTCATTATGGACTACTGTTCTGGAGGTGACTTTTATCATACATTAAAAGAAACCCCACATAGATGTCTTCAAGAAGAAACTGCAAAATTTTATTTGGCTGAAGTTTTATTAGCCTTAGAATATTTACACTTAAATGGTATTATATATAGAGATTTAAAACCTGAAAATGTATTGTTAAATGGAAACGGTCATATTATGTTATCTGATTTTGATTTAAGTAAGACTGGCCCTTCTAAAGGATCTACTATGTCTCAGGCTCTTCTTAATGTTAAAGAACAATTTAAAAAAGAACCATCTTTTATCACAAATTCTTTTGTTGGAACTGCAGAGTATTTAGCACCTGAAGTTATTGTTGGTTATGGTCATTCAGGGTCAGTTGATTGGTGGACATTTGGTATATTCATGTATGAAATTCTTTATGGAAGAACACCCTTCTTTTCAAGAAATAGAGACCAAGTCTTTTCTCAAATTCTTGATGGTGAAGTCCTTTTCCCGAAAAATTGGACATATCCAGTTTCTTCAAGTGCTCGTGATTTAATTAAAAAGTTACTTGTAACTGATCCTGAACGTCGTTTAGGTACAAAAAAAGGTGCTGAAGAAATTAAATCACATAAGTTCTTTAGGAGTGTTAAATTTCAATTAATTAGAAATATTCCACCCCCTATTGTTCCTGAGGTTAATGGTCCAGAAGATACACATCATTTTAACGACTTAAAGGATGATGGTGAAATTGAAAAACTAGAAGAACTTGCTAAGAACACTCAACCAACATTAGTCACTCCTCAACAACCTCAAGACAAAGCACCAGCCCAGATCATTCTTGGTGATACCCTTCCAAAGTAATTTCTGAATTAATTATTTTTTCTATATTTTAATTATAAATTTACTAAATTTCTTTATGTTTTAATTTTTAATCAATAAACATCATTACTAAAAATTTTATTTATTAGAATTATTCACAAAAATGTAATTATTATATTACTTGGT